GATAAGAGAGAGGTGAGGGAGGGAGGGAGAGAGAGAGAGAGAGAGATGGAGAGAGATGTAAATGTTCTACATTTTTCCTCCCTAAATATAATACCTTGCCTTTGTCTCTCTTATAGTATATCTTCTTCCTCACAAGTTAGAGTTCCATCCTTTAGTGCGGTAAGAGTAGAAGGGTAAGAGAAGAGTAAGAGAAGAAGGGGGAGGAGGGAGGGAGGGGGAAAGGCAGATGTGGGCAAATCTGACACTTCTTCACTTGTTGGGAACTGCAACGGATGGACCCAAATCAGACTTTTCCCATGCGTGCTTCTGCAGATATTGGTGAATGGTGACGTTCAGGGGGAGAAAAATCCAGCCGTCTCCCCCTTTTCCTACCTTTAGGCTTTCTCAGGACTCTGGAAATGGAGGTTGCCAGGCCCTGTTATCTTTGGGAGGGGCAGGAAAGAATAAAGAGAAAGAAAAAAAGACGGGAGTCCTAAGAAAGAGAATTTTTCCCATGCCTAGAAAGCAAAATAGTTATCAGCCATCTCTCCGTTCTGGCTGTCTCCAAACAATGTCTTGCCTTGAGATAATAATAGTTTTCCTCAACATTTCTCTCTCGCCACAGCATTGCAAAATGTTTTTATTTCAAGTAGACAGTGGGAGAATTCAGAGCTGTGGCTTCTTTGGCATAACTATCTTGCCCGTAGCAGGTACTAATGCCACTCTATAAAGCCTTAGTAAGATGTAGAATCCTGCATCCAGTTTTGGTCTCCACACTATAAAAAAGATGTTGAGACTCTAGAAAGATTGCAGAGAAGAGCAACCAGGAAGATTAGGGGACTGGAGACTAAAACATACAATGAACAGTTGCAGAAACTGGGCATAGCTAGTCTTGTGAAGAGAAGGACCAGGGGAGACAGGATAGCAGTCTTCCAATATCTGAGGGGCTTCCATAATGAGGAGGGGGTCAAGCTATTCTCCAAAGCACCCGAAGGCCAGACAAGGAATAATGGATGGAAACTGAACAAGGAGAGATTCAACCTAGAAATAAGGATAAATTTCCTGACAGTGAGAGCAATCAACCCATGGAACGGAAGTTACCTTCAGAAGTTGAGGGAGCTTCATCACTGGAAGCTTTCAAGAAGAGACTGGACTGCCCTCTGCCAGAAATGGCGTAGGGTCTCCTGCTTAGGCGTGTGTGTGTATGTGTGACTAGATGACCTATAAGGTCCCTTCCAACTCTGTTAATCTCTATCTACATTCTCTCTAACCAAAGACGGTGTCTTCTGCTCTTCCAGGGAAAAAATCCGTCAAGGCTTAGATGAGCTTCAGAAGGTCTTGCCAGGAGGAGACACCTACATGCACGAAGGATTTGAAAGGGTAAATAGGAGCAAAGAAGTGGAGTCTCGATTTTGTTGTGGGTGCTACGGGCAGAGGGCAGACTGGGCAGGGGAGTCTACAGGAAGTAGGTGTGTGAAAGACAGCAAGATGATGGTTGCCACCATGCCATCAAACCCCAGCCAGCTTTTGATATGCTGTCCACGCAAGATACACATGGGATGGGGCTCCAATCACATGGTCACAATCACTGGTGGGTGTCCAATATTCTTACCATATGAATATTGCATGCACCCAGCCTCGAAAACGTGGCTCAATAGGATGGCATTACGCCGGGGCAGGGAGGCGGGGGCACAGTTGCCGCTACCGGTTCGCCCAAAACAGTCTGAACCGGTTGAATACCACCTCTGGACTCACAATGTCCAACTTGACTTTTTCTTAGTCCTGTGGCTGGACCGCTGCCCCTCATCTCTTCCCCATCTTCTCCATGTGGCACAGTATTCTTGGCAGGGGTGATTAAAGCTAAACTTTATCCGTACTTTACATCCTAATCATTCTCTCCGGTTCTGTTTTAGGCCAGTGAGCAAATTTACCACGAAAATGTTCAAGGTAAGAATACGTTCAATAAAGTGGGTGGCAATTACTTTTTGCTCATTAATTGAGTTGAGTTTACTCTATTGATTAGCCCTTGGGCCATATCGAGGTGCAGAGTTTCAGTTCACAAATGATTACTAAAATAATTGATAAAAGCAATTTAAAATGAAATTGGAATAAAATACGATTTAAAATGAAATTGGAATAAAACACGATTTAAAATGAAATTGGAATAAAATACGATTTAAAATGAAATTGGAATAAAATACGATTTAAAATGAAATTGGAATAAAACATGATTTAAAATGAAATTGGAATAAAATACGATTTAAAGTGTCTCTGTAATTATTCTAAAGATGGGGACAATCTTTTGCTCACCGACTGACTGGGGTTAGAAGGACAGAGAAGTTTCTCTGCAGACTCAGAATGGAGTTCCTGGTCTGTGGCTTCAACCCAGTGATTCAATCTATTTCCCTCTTGGTACATAATACAGGCAGTCCTTGGCTTACGACTGTTGGTTTAGTGACCATTCAAACTTACAATAGCATCAAAAAAGTGACTTATGACTGTTTTTCACACTTATGACCCTTGCAGCTTCCCCATGGCCATGTGGGACATCAATAGTTGGACACTTGGCAACTGGCATGTACTTATGACGGTTGCAGGGTCATGTGATTCCCTTTTGGGGTCTTCTGACGCTTTGCAGCCTGATTCACTTAACAACTGTGTTGCTAACTTAAGAACTGTAGTGATTCACTCAACAACAGTAGTAAGAAAGATTGCAAAATGGGACAAAACCCACTCCACAACTGCCTCTCTTAGCAACAGAAATTGTGGTCATAAAACAAGGACTCCCTGTAGCGCTATTCTGATATTAAATGAACACCTAGACCTACAGACACATGGACATGAAAGGCAAAAGCAATTAACAAAATTGACACTAAGAAAATAAGTTGCAGGATATCCAGCACTAATTCTTCTCCGTGGGGAACAACAGGAAGTCATAAAACCTCCGAATGTGCAAATATTAAAACTTTTTTTTTATTATTAAAGTTGCCAGGAATCTTTGCTAAAGAAAACGAGTTGTCCGGAAATGTTATCAGAGCATCTTCGCTATTGCAAAGGGCAGTGTGATAAAATTCTACATTAAATGTTAATGACTGTATTCGGGAAGCCTCAATGTTATTGGATTACTAACTGTTTTTGAGTGGAAGTTTGAGACCAGGGAAATTATGCTGTTAATCTCTTTTTTTACTCAGATGTAAACTCCACTGGATTGGGTTCCATAACATTTGAACCTGATGAAACACAACTCTGTTCATTTATTTTTGGTATTCCTTCCACATTTTCACTCGGGAAAACCCTGGGCAGACATTAAGAGTATTTTAAGTTTGATTGGTGGTTCTGTGGTCTCAGATATCTGCAGAGTGAAAATACAGCTTTTGATAGCTTCTTGCAATTCAAAATGCTGCTATTAAGACAAACCCCCTGGTTAGATCCACCATGGAGCAAACTGCACATTACCCACACAAGCAGATGATTGATCAGCAATTCTGCCTTTTCTAAAAAAAAAACAAACCCCCCCCCAAAAAAACCTACAGACTCTGGAAAGAGTGTAGAGAAACAACAAAGATGATTAGGGGACTGGAGGCTAAAACATATAAAGAACGGTTGCAGGAACTGGGCATGTCTAGTTTAATGAAGAGAAGGACTAGGGGAGACATAATAGCAGTGTTCCAATATCTCAGGGGCTGCCCCAAAGAAGAGGGAGTCAAACTATTCTCCAAAGCATCTGAGGGCAGGACAAGAAGCAATGGGTGGAAACTAAGCAAGGAGAGAAGCAACCTAGAACTAAGGAGAAATTTCCTGACAGTTAGAACAATTAATCAGTGGAACAACTTGCCTCCAGAAGTTGTAGGCGCTTCATCCCTGGAAGCTTTTAAGAAGAGATTGGACAGCCACTTGTCAAACATGGTATAGGGTCTCTTGCGTAAGCAGGGGGTTGGACTAGAAGACCTCCAAGGTCCCCTCCAACTCTGTTATTCTGTTCTGTTCCCCACCTAATATATCATTGCCCTCTCTGGAAAATGCAGTCATTTGATACCCAGCTGCTCTTCTCCGGAGTAGAAAATTCCCTGGAGCAATTTTTGATATTTGACAAAGACTGATAATTCCTGGGACATTCAGACAGAATTCTTATCTTTAGCTTTCATAACAGCAGCATCTTAACTTGAGCATGTAGTGCATGACTCAGGTTGACAGCAGCAACTAAATTAACTTTAATTGCTTCTTCGCGGCAATGCGATCACGGACAAGCCCAGGCTGCGCTCACGTCACGCTAACAATCTTGGGGTGATAAGAACACCTGTGGGCAGCAATTCTGCCTCCTCTGCGGATGGCATGTTGTAATTGGGATGATCATAGGTTGGCTCTCCTCCGCGAAGGGGCCGCCTGCCCTAAAGCCATCCCAAGGGCCTGGCTCGTATTCTTGGGAAAAACGAATAAAGGCACGGCTCGACTCTGGGGAAAACAGCAGCTTTTCATTGTTTCTCCTACATCCCGTCTGTAATTTTTAATAAAAGGTGAGGCAGAGTTCAGCCTGATGAGAATGTACAGTTCTCTAATCAGATCGCGTCCATATAAGCACAGGGGGAAAAGAAAAGAAAAAAATAGGGATTCTTTAAAGATGTGATCACAGCTAAGTTGTGGGGGCTATTGTACGGGTGCCAAGGTAGAAGAGCTGAATCCAACAATTATCCAACAAGTTGCAGATCATTGGTAAGAAAAGCTCTTGCACTTAGGCAGGGAAAAACTAATGTGTAAGTGCAGAATAGGTGGTAACTGCCTTCCATTGAGGACTTGTCTACTGCACGAGTCAAAAAGAGGGCAGTGAAAATATTTACAGACCCCTCACATCCTGGACATAAACTGTTTCAACTCCTACCCTCAAAATGACGCTATAGAGCACTGCACATCAGAACAACTAGACACAAGGACAGTTTTTCCCCGAACGCCATCACTCTGCTAAACAAATAATTCCCTCAACACTGTCAAACTATTCACTAAGTCTGCACTACTATTAATCTTCTCATCGTTCCTATCACCCATCTCCTCCCACTTATGACTGCATGACTGTAACCTTGTTGCTGGTATCCTTAAGATTTATATTGATATTGTTTCCTGATTGCTTATTTGTACTCTATGACTATCATTAAGTGTTGTACCTTATGATTCTTGATGAACGTATCTTTTCTTTTATGTATACTTAGAGCACATGCACCAAAGACAAATTCCTTGTGTGTCCAATTGGCCAATAAAAAATGGGGAGGATTTTTTACACCCACAGAACTGGTAGTAAAAAAATTTGAAACCCACCACTGATGTGGGTGGGTGTTGGCACCTCTTCGAGTCATTCTGGACTCTTGACAACTGCTTGCCCAGCTCCCCAAGAATTCCAGATTCTAGTCTGGTGCCTCTACCAAACGGGCACTCTTTTTTGAGTCGGCCTTGGCATTTGATGAGTCCCTGCAGTTTCCTTGCCAACATTTCCAGAAGTGGTTTGACATCATCTTCTTCTTCCCAGGCCTGAGAGAGAGGGGGGCTCTGGCCAAAAGTCAGGCAGCCAACATAGGTGCCCAAGGTTAGGAAACAGTTTCTAACCACTGTATTTAATCACTCTATTAAATACCGAGTTGTTTGCATAAACCTGAGTTGGTGCAAACGTGGCTGTCTCTCTCCATGTTGTAGTAAAGCATGAAGGAAACCTCTAGGACAGTTTGCAAACAGCACCAGATGTGCAGCATCGTGTTTGAGTAGAGGAAGAAGATGGCAGCTGGTTGTTCCATTGTCCTTGACCATTCATTCTACTTCTGGCTTCCTTCCCTCCTCAGGTTATAGGACCGCCAGTGTCATTATTGCCTTGACGGATGGAGAACTCCATGAGGACTTTTTCTTCTATTCTGAACGAGAGGTAGGGGCAGTAGTGGGTTGCTCCCGGTTTGCACCGGTTCGCAAGAACCGGTAGTAAGAATTTGTAGTAGTTCAGAGAACCGGTAATAACATTGATTGGCCACGCCCCCGAATCGGTCCCCGGCCCGGTCATTGCTCGCTTACCCCGCCCACCTCATCAGAAGCGCTTTTTTAAAAAAACTTTTAAAAGCATTTTTTCTACAACCTCTTCGGCCGAAAAAATGCTTTTAAAAGTAAAAAAAAAAAAAAAAAAGCCTCTGATGATCGTGTGGCTCAGCTGGGATCGTCAGAGGCTTTTAAAAGCATTTTTTCCTTGCAACCTCTTAAGGTTGTAGAAAAAATGCTTTTAAAAGTAAAAAAAAAAAAGTTGGCCATGCCCACCCAGTCACATTAACCCCACCACAGTGGTGGGTTCCTCCTGGTTCGGTCCGGTTTGGCCGACCTGGTAGTGGTGACAATATGACGTCACCGAACCGGTGAGGGAGGGAGAGAGGGACAGAGAGGGCGTGAGAGAAGGAGGGAGAGAGAGAAGAAGGGAGAAAGAGAGGGAGGGAGAGAGAAGGAGGGAGAGAGAGAAGAAGGGAGAAAGAAAGGGAGGGAGAGAGAGGGGGGTGCACATGTTTGCAGACATTTGTTTTGTCTGTCTGCCTCAGAGGCTCACAACTGGCATGTCGTTTTCACTCGCCTTTATTTTGGGAGGCTGTTGCAAACAAGAGAACTTTGCCCAGACGAGCTTGGACCCACAATCCGGCAGTTCACACGCTCATTTTGCAGGGAAATGCATTTGAAGGGCAGAATGTAAATGTTTAAACAAAGCAAAACGTGCAGATGAATTGGCTATCCTCTTGGGAAGTGATCATAGCTGAAGGGGAGCGAGAGGTCTGCATGGCACTTCATGTCTTTTAACGTCGTAGATGCAACCTCCGCTATCAATGCACTGCATTCCCATCTCTGCATCCCCACTTTGCAAGAGTTGGAGGAGGCAAATCTATTTATTTCAGTGTTGCTGTATTTTTTTTCTTCTTCCCTCCCATCAACCAGATTCTGCTTCATTCCCCCCCACCCCACCCCGAGTCCTCTTCAGCATTCATTTTGTGTTTGCTACCCCCCCCCACACACACACACTTCTGGGAAGCATGCATTAAAAGAAAGCACATCCTGAAATATGAACCCAATGAATTTCTTTCCCGGCGTTAGCCTAGGGAATTTCCCAAGGAGAATTGTGCAGCTCCCTTCCCTCAACCGCCATTTCTGACTGCAAAAATTAAATACTTCAGGATTCGGTCAATGCATTGCAACATCTTTAGAAGGATGAACCGAAAAAATATGGTCATTTTTTTCAGTAACACGAATCTTCACAATTCTAGATAAAGGACTAATTGGGCTCCAGGATGGAGAGAGCACATTAACTTGGCTGTGTTTTGAAAAATAAGCTTTATCAAAAGCAACCGGTGGGGAGGTGGGAGGGGTAGAGAGGTGCACAACTTGGCCTTCCCCAATCCAAGGCCTTCCAGATGCTTTCAGGGAATTCTTAGTCTGCAACACATCTGGAGGGCATCAGATTGCAGAAAGCTATGGCGGCCCATCCTCCCCGCCTGAAGCGTTCGAAGGGGATTTATCCACCTCGTCTTCTTTTAGGATGCTGGGGAATTGAGCTGCCTTACGCGGGACAAGGCTTACGTCGGCTGTGAGACGCGTAATTTTAGCCCTCTTCCAAAGTCATAATTATTGTTGTGCAGAAAAGGCAAGACTGAATTCCCTCCCCCTCGTTTCCGTTCAAGAGAAGGAGCTCCCGACAATAATTGTTTTTTTTTTTTTAATTTACATTTAAAAGAAATTCCCAAGAATGTTGCAGAGTATAGTACAGCAAACGGAAGCTTCCCTGGTCAGAAAATTTGAAAGAGAAGCACCAGGAGAGAAGTTTTATATTTTATTTTATTTTTTTATTTTATTTTATTATTATTTTATATTTTATTTTATTATTTATTTTATTTTACTTATTTATTTTATTTTACCTACTTATTTATTTATTTTAATTTTTTTTATCATATAAATCTTTCGCCTTTTTATCGTGTTGTAGTTGTAGTAGTTGTTGTTATTATTATTATTATTTTCAAAAGTTGGGCAGCCAAGTAGGAAAAATGGAAAAATAGGGAGCAGGCCAGGGAAGAAACAAATGTACCCCAAACTGCAACCATCCCTGCCAGTTAAAATAATAAAATAAGCTTGAAATGTAATTTTTTTAAAAAAAAAGGGAGGCAGACAAGCGGACGTTTCTTCTGTGGGGAAAGGGACCTAGAAGAGATATTTTGGCATAGCTCCTTTGGTGTGGTGGTTAAGGCACCTGGATAGGAACTGGGGACTGTGAAGGGAGGACTACCTGTATTGCATAAGGAGGGCCAGGAAACCTGACACAAAGATGAAGGAACCGTGTTCCCCTCTCCTTCCCTCAGACCGGGACTCTTTTTTAATTCATAATTATTGGTTACATCCCAAACAGAAAGGCAATTCTGCCAGGTTGGATACGGGTTTTATCCTTCCTGCTGAGGTGGCAGGTAGGTGGGTGAGATAGGCCAGGAGATAAAATGGTAGTTGGGAAGCCCCATCCAAGACTGATTGTTTCTTTATGCTGTTTGGGGTGCAACCAATGTTTTGGTCCTCTCTTTCCAGGCCAACCGGTCCCGTGAGCTGGGAGCAACGGTATACTGTGTCGGTGTGAAGGACTTCAATGAAACTCAGGTAATTTTCAATCGTCTTGCATCTGGGCAAGGGTTGCTTTAAGTGGAACAGCTTCCAGTCTCGTTCGAAATTGCTTTCGAGGGAGTGAGAAGAACAGGACTGCCTCAGGATGTGGCTCCAAAATGTCAAAGGAGCAGCTAGAACTATGGAATCAAAGCCTCAACCCTTTTTGACAGGCGTAACATCCGTTCCTGTCATGACATGGCCGCCATCTTGATTTTTTGGATTACTCATGCAGAGGCCTCTTCACAAATTACTTCTCCTTCTAGAGCAGAGGTGGGAGACGATGGGCCCTTTATGACTTATGGCTGATTCCAGCTTCATCTCCCGGGGCTTACAGGCCAGCATAATATTAACCAAAAATTAACCGGTCCCATCCAAACCCCATGGCGTAGGTAAGGAAACCAACAATAAGTAATAGACACCATTTCTGGTTCCAGGTGTTTCTCCTTAACTATAAAGCCCATGTAAGTAGACACATCCACTCAGTTTTGACTGGACTTGAAAAGCTGAGCACCATCAGATTGGTTTGAACTTAGGTGAAAGTACAGCAGATCCCAAGACTGTGGTCTAGATCGGGATGTCACAATACACTCCAAGCCGATGGTAAAATTGTGTCTGCAATTTTGCCGTAAAGGTTCAGAACAGGGACCTTGTAGGTTGAGTTAAGGCTGATAAAGAAGACGGATATGCAACCAGCCAGCTGCACCGTTTCCTGTGAAAAAGTTCTGACATCTCTACAGATCACAGGATGGCTGGAATAAAAAAAGAAAAGAAAAAGAAATGAAAAATGAAATCGATCCAACGGCTTTCAGTGGGAAACCGTTCAGCTGCTGGAATTCGTACAACCCCATTCCTCATATTCCAATAAATCTTGCTAAAGAAAACTCTGAGAATTAGATTGGAAAGAATTTTGGTTTTAGGCAGCTGCCAAAGAGCCTGGAAGTTGCCTGTAAAGACTCCATGGATTCATCCTCCTGTAATAATTTAAACTATGATCCAGGTTCAGCCAGGATCCTATCCTAGTTTTTCTCAGCCACAGCAGCTTAAGTAGATGTGGACTTCATCTCGCAGAATTCCCCAGGCAGAATTCTGGGACCTGAAGTCCACACATCTGAAAGTTGTTGAGGTTGCAAAACACTGTCCCATTATATTGAAGTTCTCTGCTTCAAGGGGGGAGGGGATGTTGCTAATTCTCATTCCCCCCACTATTGTATTTGGAAAAACTAGAATCCTCCTATTGTGATGAGTGCAAATTCTGAGAAAAATTATGAGCGTGGAAGAAACAAAATACACGCACACAGGGAGAGAGATGTCAACAAAGCTTGACAAACGGTTGTCTCCACCTCTTGCGCAATGGTCATCTGCCTCTTGGGACTTGACTGACTGTGTGTGTCCAATGTTTCCTTGCGTCCTTGTTGGCTGACACACTTTTTCCCCCCCCAAAAAAACAGTTGGCTCGAATCGCTGACAGCAAGGATCACGTCTTCCCTGTGAATGATGGCTTCGAAGCTCTCCAGGGAATCATAGACTCTGTAAGTCTTGCTTACCGCTGTACTCGTTTCATGACTTTGTGAAATTAGCATTGTTGTTGCCAGAAACAGTATATTTATCAGCGCTGGGACATCCGAGGGCCTCCTAGAAAGAAACCGGTAGCAGCCACTGAACTGAATGGCTTGGCCGAGTGGAAGAGAGGTTTGGGCTGAATGGATAGCTCTGAAATGCTCGGGAATTATTTAGCAAAAGCAAAGAGAATGAGCAGCTTTGATTCAGAGGGCTAGGGGAATTCTATACCATTACAAAGCCCTGGATCTCACTTTGTTTCTGAAACCAACTCACTCAAAATAGGGAAGTACAGTACTGTCTTAGTGAGTCTTGCCAGTTTTCCACAATATTTTTGTCATTGCTAGCACAGATGATGTTTCTTGGTGATGAAACATCTGCAAGGAAATCACCGAGCTCAGAGAGCACCTAGGACTGTGCAGTTCAGCCTTGAGCTACAGATCTTTCCTTCTATTTCTGTTATTGCTAGGTCTAAATAGAGGATTCCAGGTATCAGTGTAAGGCCTTCTGGAAGAGAGAGAGAGAGAGAGAGAGAGAGAGAGAGAGAGAGAGAGAGAGATACAGTGTTTCCCTGAAAATAAGACCCTGTCTTATATTTTTTTGAACCCTGAAATAAGTGCTTGGCCTTATTGCCATGCACTCAAAAGCCCAATTGGGCTTATTATCAGGGGATGTCTTATTTTGGGGAAAACAGGGTAGATGATAGATAGATGGTAGATAGATAGATAGATAGATAGATAGATAGATAGATAGATAGATAGATGATAGATAGATAGATAGATAGATAGATAGATAGATAGATAGATAGATAGATAGATAGATACCGTGTTTCCCTGAAAATAAGACCCTGTCTTATATTATTTTGAACCCTGAAATAAGCGCTTGGCCTTAAAAGACTGATGATCGTGCGGCTCAGCTGGGATTGCCTCTGACGATCCCAGCTGAGCTGCGCGATCATCAGAGGCTTTTTTTTTTACTTTTAAAAGCATCTTTTTGGCTGAAGAGGTTGTAGAAAAAATGCTTTTAAAAGTAAAAAAAACAAAAACAGTTGGCCATGCCCACTCAGTCACATTATCCCCACCAAGCCACGCCCACAGAACCATTAGTAACAAATTTTACATTTCACCATTGCTGCAGCCCAATACATGGAAAGAAAGGTAAAAGAAAGCAGGGATAGAAGTTATGTTCCTGATCCCTCCAGGTACAAATGCTTTTACTTTAACCTATTTTCTGGATCAGGAACCTTGTTCTCTCTCTCTCTCCCTCTCCCCTTTAATCTCTTCCAATTGAACATACAAATGTGGTTAGGGCACCAGGTATTGTGAGAACCTAAAAATATTCTGGGCTTTTAGAGTTGCATTCTCTCTACAGCTGTTCCTAATAGATTCCAGAAGTATTTCCTTTCTCTTTGTCTCGCTGGCTGCATTTCTTATGGCTTCAATTGCCAGCAGTAACTCACAAGATTTCGTGCTCAGAAAACTCAGTGTAGAACCCATTAACCACTGTGTGGTGGCGCAGTGGTTAGAGTGCAGTACTGCAGCCTATTTCTGCTGACTGCCAGCTGCCTGCAATTTGGCAGTTAGAATCTCAATAGGCTCAAGGCTGATTCAGTCTTCTGTCCTTCCGAGGTCAGTAAACTGAGGAACCAGATTGTTGTGGGCAGTAGGCTGACCCTATAAATCACTTAGAGAGGGCTGTTAAACTCTGTGAAGTGGTATATTAGTCTAAATGCTCTTGCTATTTTCCTTCCTTCCTTCCTTCCTTCCTTCCTTCCTTCCTTCCTTCCTTCTTCCTTCCTTCCTTCCTTCCCATTAGAATGCAGTATTTCAGGTTAATTCTGCTGACTGCCAGCAGTTCAATCCTGACCGGCTCAAGGTTGACTCAGCCTTCCATCCTTCCGAGGTGGGTCAAATGAGGACCCAGATGGTTGGGGGCAAGAGGCTGACTCTGTAAACTGCTTAGAGAGGGCTGGAAAGCACTGTGAAGTGGTATATAAGTCTAAGTCCTATTGCTATTATAGTGCAATGCTATGGTGCTACTTTCATGTTTCAAACAAAAGATGCTACCTTTGCTACTGAGCTGGGACTCATTGCATTTAGGAAATAAAATTAGCTGGCTACCCCAGAGAATCGCAACGAAGTCTCCGTGCTGTGACTCACTCAAAGGTCACTGGCTCAAAGCCAGAGATGCCTCTTTCTGGAAGTTTATGTCCTGCTTTTCCAAACAAAAGTTCCAAATTCTTTTTTTTTTCCCCTGCGGTGATTTGTATCTTTCAGACTGGATTTCATCTGGCTCGGTTCCTTCCTTCCTTCCTTCCTTCCTTCCTTCCTTCCTTCCTTCCTTCCTTCCTTCCTTCCTTCCCATTAGAATGCAGTATTTCAGGTTAATTCTGCTGACTGCCAGCAGTTCAATCCTGACCGGCTCAAGGTTGACTCAGCCTTCCAGCCTTCCGAGGTGGGTCAAATGAGGACCCAGATGGTTGGGGGCAAGAGGCTGACTCTGTAAACTGCTTAGAGAGGGCTGGAAAGCACTGTGAAGCGGTATATAAGTCTAAGTGCTATTGCTATTATAGTGCAATGCTATGGTGCTACTTTCATGTTTCAAACAAAAGATGCTACCTTTGCTACTGAGCTGGGACTCATTGCATTTAGGAAATAAAATTAGCTGGCTACCCCAGAGAATCGCAACGGAAGTCTCCGTGCTGTGACTCACTCAAAGGTCACTGGCTCAAAGCCAGAGATGCCTCTTTCTGGAAGTTTTACGTCCTGCTTTTCCAAACAAAAGTTCCAAATTCTTTTTTTTTTTCCCCTGCGGTGATTTGTATCTTTCAGACTAGATTTCATCTGGCTCGGCCTTGAAGATTTGTACCAGATTTAATTTTTTGAGTGGACATAACTTTACTTTACTTTTATTTTGAATTTATATACCACCCTATTCCCGAAGGACTCAGGGCGGTGAACAGAATACATAATACAAAATTTAAAAAGCAATGTAAAAGCACATTAAATAATTTGGCCCATACAGATTAAAACACCCAGCAGTTCCTGTTCATCCTGGCTAATTGTTTCTGTTTTTTCTTCCTCCTTTTTAGGGTATTCCTGAGGCCTTACATATCCGTGTTTCCCCGAAAATAAGACCCGGTCTTATATTAAGTTTTGCTCCAAAAGATGCATTAGGGCAGAGGTCTTCAAACTTGGCAGCTTTAAGACTTGTGGACTTCAACTCCCAGAGTTCTCCAGCCAGAATTCTCCAGCCAACATAGCATAGCTGGCTGGAGAATTCTGAGAGTTGGAGTCCACAAGTCTTAAAGCTGCCAAGGTTGAAGTCCTCTGCATTAGGACTTATTTCTGGGAAAATGCGGTACTAAAAGTGTCTGACGATCTTAACTGGGGCTTATATTTGGGGTAGGGTTTATATTTACGAGCATCCTGAAAAATTATGCTAGGGCTTTATTTCCTGGTTGGGTCTTATTTTCGGGAAAATACGGTAGTTAGAAAAATCTTTCTTCCATTCTCGACCTTTTATGGAAACCTTGTTAAAAAAAAGATATTGTTTCACCTGCATTTTCTGCACACAAGTGTTGAAGGTTGGGGGATGGGAATTGCTCCAGAGTACAGGCAAGTCCTTGACTTACAACAATTCATTTAGTGACCGTTTGACATTACCATGGCACTGAAAAAAAGGAACTCGGGATCATTTTTCACACTTATGACGGTTGCAGCATCCCGGGATCAAAGTCAATGCGAAAATCAGATTCACTTAACAATCACATTAGTAACTTAACAATTGCAGTGATTCCCTTAACAATTGTAGCAAGAAAGATGGTAAAAACGGGCCAAAGCTCATTGAACAAATGTCTCGCTTAGCAACAGAAATTTTGGGCTCAACTGTTGTTGAGCCACCTCTATCTTCATTTAAAATTTGAGTTGTGTCCTTCATAATATTTTGGAGCCAAATGGGTAAGAAAAATCCCCATCCATTCACATCAACCCTACCATCAGCACACGACCTTCTTCTCCTCATTCATTGTCCAGATGGATGGATGTTGGTCCAGGACCTCTAAGGACCTGGAGTTTCTCCTGTCCTTTCCTATTCTCTAGCCCGATGTTTTTAGATTTCACAGCTTTTAGATTTCCTGAAATTTTGGGGTTGAAGTCCACACATCCATTGCAATTAGTATGTTGCATTTTCCCCGTTGCCAGAGGCATGGAGTGGGAAGGGGAGGTCAAAAAGTGTCACAGCTAAATGACCAAAGCCTCATCTGCGCCTTGGAGCTTTGCTCACTTTTTCTGCAGTCCCCATCTTGACTTAGCTGAAGGTCCCCTCCTGGAGACCTTTCTGGCCTTGCTCCCCCATGAACCTGGGGTGATAAAGTAAGCCCATCTTCTCCTGGCCTGGGTATGCAAAACATTTTGCAGTGTGGAAAGTACTTTGAGTATTTCTGGGAGCAGAAGATGGGTGGAAGGTCCTGTACCTTCTTTGACCATTCCTGATAGGGCTTGAAGCAGAAGATGCAGAAAAGACGGGACCTCTCTTTCCATTCTTCAAGTCTTTTGACTTTTGGCCTCCTATAACATGAGTCCTTTTTGGTTTAGCTGTTAAGATACTCCAGCTTTGAGCAACACTGGGAGTTCTCCATCTGGATGCACACAAGGTTGTTAAACCCTGTTATTCTTTCTTGTGCCTTCTAGATTCTGAAGAAATCTTGCATTGAAATCCTTGCTGCAAAGCCTTCCAGTATCTGTGCAGGCGGTGAGTTTACCATGGAATATTTTCAGCCTTTCTTGCTTTGGGGAATGGCATCTCGGGTTTTTTTTTTTTATCCCGGAGGGAAGAAGGGAGTCAGCTGTCTTCTGGCACTCTGGGGGAATTTTTCTTTGGCTCAAAAATGCCAGAAAATTCCATCTGTTGGTTGTCTGCTTGAATGAAGAAAAAAAATCTTGATTTGATCTATTTTTAGGGTTGGTTTTCATTGAGGGCAGATGGTCTCTGACATCTCATTTATAAGATATCGGGAGGCCAATTGATGGAGGTTTTCGCCTTCCCTACTTCGGTTCTGTCCCGAATCTCCTCTCTCCTGTGCCTTTGCTAAATGTTTGAAACATGAAAAAAATTCTGATCTCACAATTCTCCATTTTGGCTTTGTCCCTTTTCAAACTTTAGCTTCCCTGCTGGGAGGTATATCAGGATTGGGGATGGGGCCACCAATTCCACATCCAAAGGATTGGGAGCAAGAGGGATAAACTGGATTCAGGAATCTTACTTGGAATATGTAAAACTGTCTCTGGTCTCTTCTCGAAAACCTCCATGATGAAGCACCCACAACTTCTGAAGGCAAGCGCTTCCCCTTTCATTGGCAGAAAATCTCATATCTTTCTGAGGCATAGAGGGCCCCATCAACCTACTCAACATGTGTCCTCTGAGGAGTTCCACATTTGCAATGGAGGCAAACTTCTCTGTTTTCTAGACGTAGGAACAGGAGCAAGTTGGAAATGAGCCAACTACCGGATTGAATTTTATTTCAAAGTGGACTTCCTAGGAGCAAAGATGTACAGGGATGAATCAATGTTGAAGAGATCTTCTAATCATCTCAGTGTTGTGACCTAGGCCCAAGTAGTTACTACCAGACACAATCAGTCTTAAACAAACGTATTTTATTAGAACAGCTGAGAATTACTTCATTCTCAGCTTAGTCCAAATTAATTCCAAAACAAATTCTTCGTAAACAGTCCTTCGGCCTTATCACCAACCTTTGTCGTCTTTGGGATCCTTCCAATGGCTTTTCTTGGCAAAAGTTCAGAAGCAAGAGATTCTGACAAGAAACAACTGTAGCAATGTTGCTTTCCTACAAAGATCCCAAGAGCCGTTGCTGCTGTTTTAAGCCTTCTGGGAAGGGCCAATCATCTCCTGGCCTTACTCCCAAGTCGTCCTTTTTGCTTTAGCTGCTCTTGCCTTCTGTCAGCTCTTCGCATGCACGCACTAGGAACAGGCTCTCCCTGTTCCTCTGCCTCTCTGATGTCCGCCTCTGGAGGCTCTGGAGTCCACACATCACTCCCAGATGGCCCTGGCCCCATCTCTGCCTCCGACGCAGAGCCCTCGTCCGGGCCTTCCCCTGACTCCAGGACTGGCCCATTGTCCTCCCCATTGTCCTCACTGTCCGACTCCACAGGCTGCTGGCAGACCACAACACTCAGCACTTCAGGCTTATTCCAGCTTCTCCTGCAAAAAACCTCGACTGCTTATTTTCTCTTTTTCCTACATTCTGATTTCGTCTTTCTGGCATAGATTCACTGGGAAAAAAGAACCTGCTTTATTTTGGAGAGAGTTGGCCTCCCTGGACAGCAGCTGGCAAACAGACCTTGGCATCCACCCCAGTCGGCTGGCTTTTGCCCCTTCAGGGTCCCCGTTGGCTTATTTAAACATCTAACATCTCGCTGGGGAGACGAAGGAGAGGCATGAGGCTCTGCAGAATCACTGAGTTATTCAGAGTTCATGGGCTCCGCCAATTGTTTACTAATTATTCTGGATATAAATGGGAGCGAGTTTACATGTTAGATGAGAAACACACTTCAGTTCATTCCCCAGGCTTTTTAAAGTCTGCAGACACAGCTATGCGATGAAGAATGCTGACGCACCCATTTTACGTTCTACCAATAGATTAAGATGTCTTTGTTAGTCCATGCTGATACTTATTTATTTTTTTGGGTGTGTAATCATCAGTCTGGTCCATCCAATTTTAGCCCAGGTCTAAAATTCTAAATCTAAAACAAAACTGCCTTAAAATTCACAATTTAACACACTTTCTCCAATGTTTTGGCATCTGGTGTTTGACTCCAGAACTGCATTACAAAATGTGAAAAGCACAATTCATAGGATCGCTCGTATAGAGGGGGGTTTTAGGCCACAAACTAGGACTGACTTCTGTTTATTAAAACGTGTTCTCATCCAAGGGTTGGCCAATGTCCTAATGAACAAAGCTATGAATTCGATTGTTCTCGGTTTTTATTTTATCTTCAGATGCTTTAATGGCCTTTCAGATGTTTCCTTGTTTGGCAGGAAGGACCTGGATGGAAACTAGCTGATACTTTCAGTGTAGAACTGAGTAGATATCTTGGATGAATAGAAATCTTAAAGCCCCCCCTGTTAGGGTTCTAAGTAATATACCCAGAGCGAACAGAACTCCAAGGAAAGCAGGTTCCTCAAAGAACAGGTTTATTGGACATATCATATTGGCACAGACTGATGAAAACCGACTCTAAAGGTTCCTACAGTAATCACCTAATTAAAAGACCCCCACCTTCCCAAACAATCAGTCAATCAAGGTGCTGTCTGGTTGCTTGGAAACTTCACTCCTCCTCCCTTCAGCCACCTGTGAGAATGTCCTTGGTTCTCAGGGGAAACTATTTTGTTTTGGCTACAAAACCCCAGCTATCTCTATTCCCCACTCCCTATCTCTCAGCTCCAGTATGGCAACGCTGAAGCTTCCAAGGTGGACTCAGTCAGGCCAGCTTCAGAGTTGACACCCACTTACTAAAAACATGCCAAAAGAGCAGATGAAGGCTGCTGTCGTACCCTCAAGAACCCAGAACAAGTAGAAGCTGTAATGGGCATTTTTGAAACTCCAGTGCACATGCAGAGTTTTGGTCTTAAGTTCTCAGCAGGACCATGTTTGAAAGTGAAATCAGGTCTCCACAACCACATAGAAAACTCTACAGTGAAGGAAAATAGCAGTTGGAATGGTGCTTTTTTGGGGGGCTTCTCTGGTTAAAAGAATCTGGGAAGCCACATCCCCAAAATTCAGCAGACGGCATTTGTAGTGGGAGCCAGTAAAACAGTAAGGAAAACATCTGCCAAGCAGGCAGAACATCTGGGGAAAGAAGTCCCATCTCCAGCTGGTGGTCTCTGCTTGTGTGAACCCTGGGAGGTGAAGCCTACCTCTAGGGGATGCCAAAAGGGGAAAGCACCTTTAAATAATCTGGTCCCGATATATTTTTAAAGTATCAGAGAATGCAGGCTCCTCTGATCTACTTTGTTCCTTTACTTGAATTTCAGGTCTTCTTCCCAGATGCATCGATGCCAAAACTTTACAATTAAAAGCTAGAAAATTGATCCGAGTTTATACAAAGCTGGTAATCCCTTTGCTGCTTTGTTGTTGTTGTTGCTGCTGTTGTTATTATAATGATGGTTGGTTGGATGGACAGTTAGCCACGTCCATGTTTAGGCTGGATTTGGCATTTTTGTCCACCTACTGAGTGAGTCCTTCCCAAGGACCTGGGATAGACAGATGTTATACTTGGATGGAGTTCAAGGTGCAGCACAGTTGCAGGATGTAAGCTGTTTCGAATAAAGCTGCCTTTTGCAATTGACTGGATGGTGATTTTGTCAACGCCAATGGTGTTCGAGTGGTGCTCCAGTTGTTTTGGGATTGCACCCAAGGCGCCTGTGACAATGGCTTTCTTTTACCACAGTTGTTCTACTTCTATTTACAGGTCTTTGTATTTCGTGATTTCCTCCAGTTCTTTCTCTTCTATTCTGCTATCTCCAGGTACTGCAACATTCACTATCTTTCTTATCAACAGTTCTTAAGTGTGGGGTGTTTTATGACAGGTGCTGACTGGATGAATTCTAAAAACCCACATCACTTTAAGCTTCTGTATTTTCTACTGCTTTATCTATTTAGTGGTCCCACCAGTTTCCTGCTTGCAGGCAATTGGTACTTCTTGCAGGTATTCCAATGCACCGTTTGTTGCTACTTTTGTCGTGCTGTTGTTTGTAGTCAGTCTGGGTGAGCATCTTGCAACAGTTAAGCTACTATTATCATTATTTCGACTGATGAGTTTAAGTGGAAAAGATACCCTTTGTTGCATTTAGAGATATACTGCTGGAGGTGAAAAGGGAATTCTTTTTAATTTACTGCAAATAATGTCCAAAAAAAAAAACTTCTAGGCAAACTGTAGTTCATAGATCTCAAGTATTGGGCTGGAGGATTTGAACAAGGCACTAAATATGCACCCTATGGTCAAAAGTAAATTGGCACTGGATAAGGGTCAATGGAATTCATGGTGGGGGGCTGAACTTGGATCTCTTGTGGCAACACAATAACTCCAAACTTGTGACACATTTAACTCTGCCTTCCACCTCAGCTTGCTGTTCCGCTATAGAACCTTTCCAACTCCACATAATTGTGATTATGGACCTATCCTCATATTATGCAGCCAAAATTTAGTGGCAAAAATGCTGATTTTCAGCAGTACCAACTGCATTTCTTTCTTTCTTTCTTTCTTTCTTTCTTTCTTTCTTTCTTTCTTTTTCTTTCTTTCTTTCTTTCTTTCTTTCTTTTCTTTCTTTCTTTCTTTCTTTCTTTCTTTCTTTCTTTCTTTCTTTCTGCACTCATTTCCACCTTTACCCCAAAAACAGGCTGGAAAGTTCCATCCCCTCCCCTCCCCTCCCCACCCTCCCACCATGGCTCTGTGTCTGGAAAAACACCACAAAATACTTCCTGCTCTAGATGATTTTATTTGGGAAAACTATTAAACCCCTTCCAGAATGTCAAGGCAAAAATGGGCCTTCTGGGGAACATTTAATCCTTGGGATATTGAGTTTTGGAGATCCTACACTTGAGGCCTTTTCTTCTTCTTCCCTCTTGCTCAGACAAGTATGGCAGGCATTGAAGCTGGGCACGAGTGGCTTTTTCTCCACTGATTTTTGGGGTAGAGAAATTGGGCGGATGAGTTCTCTAAACTTTTTTCAGGAAAGAGAAATTCTTCGATCGTTCTTCCCAGGTGGGACTTCCCCTTGGTGGTGCTCCTGGGCTGAACTGAAACAGCCTCACAAAGAACTTGGTGGGAAGAGTGGCAGAACCTGAGCAGTGGAGCGAAAAGAGGGATCAACCCTACATAGCCACAAGCAAACTACCGTGTTTCCCCAAAAATAAAACCCAGTCTTATATTTATTTTGAACCCTGAAATAAGCACTTGGCCTTATTGCCATGCACTCAAAAGCCCGATTGGGCTTATTATCAGGGGGTGTCTTATTTTGGGGAAAACAGGGTAGCTGTTTTCCCCAAAATAAGACACCCCCTGATAATAATGATAGATAGATAGATAGATGAGAGATAGATGAGAGAGAGAGAGAGAGAGAGAGAGAGAGATTGATAAGAGAGGGGGAGGGAGAGAGATTGATAAGAGAGAGAGAGGGAGAGAGAGAGAGAGAGATACCATGTTTCCCCCAAAATAAGACCCAGTCTTATATTTTTTTTGAACCCTGAAATAAGCACTTGGCCTTATTGCCATGTGCTCAAAAGCCCGATTGGGCTTATTATCAGGGGACGTCTTATTTTGGGGGAAACAGGGTAAGTCCAACTCCCCCCTTGAATTCTGTTGACCCTTATCTAACTAACCAGGAGCTCACTATTAGTTAAGAAGGTTCTCGTGCATAGGCTATAGGAGTAAATCAGTTTAATTGAACCTTCATATGATCTTCTGCATCTGACAGAAGTCCTCTTCCGAGGTCCTCCTTGGGACTCAGTTGGGAAGCCAGAAAGGCTGTTGACTCTAGAGATAGGATGGTCCAATGAAAGAAAGCCACCTGAGAAAGGAGGATGAAGCAGACTCTTTGGTCTTGCTTCATTCCCGTGCACACAGTCAAGAATGCTACCAAACCTCCCATTGATTGAGATGTCCTGGTCCTTGATGCCTTCACTCCCGTTTCGCTAATCAGCTGTCTTGATAAACCCCTATTTATCTATGAAATCTGAAATAACACGATGGGGATTATACCTCTTCTCTGCAAAGGATGGGTGTTTGTCTCTTCTACCTGGCTACACGCTTCCCTGAATGAGCTCATCAGGGAATGTCTTAGGATGCTGTGCAGCTGAATCTTTGGGATGAATTGTCTATGGAGGTTCTCCGTCCTCCAGGTCTTGGTTGTCCCAAAGGTGCTTTTTCAAGAAGCAACTGGTCTTTCTGGTTTTTCTTTGAAGACGTTTCACTTCTCATCCAAGAAGCTTTTTCATGATGGGGAATGGGCCAAAGAGGCCATCCATGTCCAAATTGAACAGCCCTCTCTCAACAGAGGGGAGAGAGGGATATGACATCATCTATCTCCAGTCTACAAGACAGTCCTCCTTTCAGCAGTTCCAAGAAGACTCCACACCCATTTGCACCACTCAGGTGACCCTGACGACACAGATAAATGTCCAGGTGGCCTCAATGGCTTTCCAAAAAGGATGCAAATGACCAACTGTCTGCAAGGAGTATAAATCCTTCCATCCTCCACCATCCAGCCAGAGCTGAAGAAGCTTCTGGATAAACTTTTCTTTCTTTTGATGAGTTGGCTTAATGGAGGTTTATACTTTCTCTAGGCGAAAATTGATACTTTAAAACTCTTTATGTATTATATTACTCTCTGCAATTCTATCCATATTGTTATACTTTTTTTTCTGTATTTTTTTAATAATTTTCAATAAAAAAAATTTTTTAAAAAAAAAGCTGCTTGGGTGAGAAGCAGTGGTGAAATCCGGCTGGATCTATCCGGTTCGCACGAACCGGTAGCGCCGGTAGCGGGAGGCTCTGTCCACCCACCGGGACATCATTACAACCTGTTTTTGACCCTCTGCACATGCACAGAAGGCTCTGCGCATAGCGTACGCACACTTCCGTGTGCTCCTGTTCCCGAACCGGTAGCGAAGATAAGTGGATTTCACCGATGGTGAGAAGTGAAACGTCTTCAAAGAAAAACCAGAATGTCCAGCTGCCTCTTGGAAAGAAAAGCAACCAGAGTCTTGGAGCAGAGCCTAGATTCCTGAGTCAACTCGTATGCTTTGTGCAGCTACAGTGCAGGAGACGTGCCCCCCCCCCTTCCTGCCCCCAAGGCATGGATTTAGAGAGACAGCGAGTGGGCGATGGCTCTTGAGCATCAGAGATAATGTTGATTCAGCAGAAAGCGGGGTCACTCGGCTTCAAAGCATTGGAAGTCATCCTTGCTTGCTCCCCGATCATCCCTTTCGTTTTAAGCACTCTTGCACAGACAGAATTTGCTGACTGCAGGGCAGAAGTGCTGCTTCTGACTTTCCGAGGCTTTTTTCCCTACAGCAGCAGCTCAAAAGGTGCGGCTCTGATCCCTTTTATCCCACTGATCATTAAGGGCATTTAGAGGCTTCTGGGCTTCCTTTTGGCTGGGCTTTCCCCCCCCCTCCCCGATTGAAAGGCAGATGCTCCTTGGACCAGAAAACATGATTTTGGATCCATGTTTCTCAGTCCCAGCAACTTTCAAGTGTATGGACTTCAAATTTGGTAGTACAGTGGTCTAAAGCACCCTGTTATCAAGTTATTAAGACCAGCTGCCTGCAATTACTGCAGGTTCGAATCTCGCCAGGCTCAAGGTTGACTCAGCCTTCCATCCTTTCTAAGGTAGGTAAAATGAGGACCCAGATTATGGGGGCAATAAGCTGACTTTGTATAAATATACAAAAGTATGAAGGCTATTGCTTAGCGCATTGTAAGCCGCCCTGAGTCTTCGGAGAAGGGTGGCATATAAATAAAAAAAAAATTTTTTTTTTCAACCATTGAGCACACAGGGCCAAAAGTTCAGTCGAAATTAGTGTTGGACCAAATATGATTGAAATGGCACTAAAACAGACACACACACACACAAGTTCTGCATTGTGTAGTTGTTTCTCCCAAATTCCCCAAAAATGTTCAATTTCTTTCTTAAGGGTAATAAACCCTTAAAACCAATCGCCTGCAGACCAATTTTTTTCCAGTGACATTCCTTCACAGGCATGATATTGGACCGAGATTTTACAAAATATTAAGTGTTGCACGAATTTCTTCCTAAAAAATGTTTTAATTGTCTTTTTTAGGATGATGAGATAAAATCGTATCCTAAGACTATATCACCATATATATTTTTTTCTTTCTGTTGTTGGTTACTGCTCAAACTCCCCCCTCAAATCCCTTCTCTGATGCTAGAAGAAAACAGCTACAAACAGATGGACTGTATAAAGAGGTCATTTACATCATTTTCCGAAATGATTCTGTTACACATTTCGGGAGCATTTGTGAGGGCTTCTGTTTCTGTTGAGCCTTATTCAAGTTTGCCTCTGCTAATTATTTGTCTTCTTCTAACATCCCTTTGGGCCCAAATATATTCTGCCACATTCTCAGGACCTAAATTAAGATGACTGCCCTCCCAAAAATAAATCGAGAGTTAGCTTAATTGTGGAGTTTTTGGTGCTCTCTGAGCTTGCTGGTTTGCCTGCAGATGTTTCATTACCAGGCCATTTAGCATCTTCATGTTCAACAAAACATCTGCAAAAGAACCACCAAGCTCAGAAAGCACCAAGGAGTCCACAGTCCAACTCTGAGCTACATAGAGTCTCTTCTGTTGTTATTGTCAAGATTCGGTGTCGTCTCAAATAAACTGCATTTCAAACAAATAGTCCTTGATCAAAATCTTTCATTTATTAGGCACACCAATCGAAACTCCGACTCAGTTGCAGCCAACACTGACTTCCTAGTCCCAACCCTCCCTTTCCTTTCCCCACTGTTCTGCTTCTCATTGGCCATCTTCCAAGTCACTCTGCTGTTAATCTACTACTACAGCTCAAAGGAATTTCCCCCCTCCCAACCCATCTCCTAGGGGATAGTATCTCCAGGGAAAATAAGTAGGTGAAAAGTCAAGCGTCCTCTTGCCAGATGCCCCCACCTTCTCCTCCTTATGTCAGCACTGGAGTGAATGCAGCTTGGAGTGCTGACAGTTATCTTGATTTTCCCAGTTGGTAGAAAGCTGGGAGTCAGGTCAAAAAAGTAAAATCAAACAATCCATTAATAAAATGCCTGAGCCGGGTTCCTTCCTCTTGCATTATCATTTAATTATAATTTTAATGAATCAGCAATTATTTTAAAATCATGAAGAACATCTAGATGGCCACTAGGACTAAAAAGATTGACTTGATAGCACCTAATCAATCAAGTGTTTAAAAAAAAAACTCTAATGCTCTTCTCAAATAAATTATTTCTCTTTACTTTCAGAATCCTTCCAAGTTGTGGTGACAGGAAATGGCTTCCGACATGCCCGGAATGTGGATCGAGTCCTCTGTAGCTTCAGAATCAACGAGACAGTCACGCTTAGTAAGTTGTCCTCCTGTCCTATCAACCAATCAACCCTGCATGTCTAATGATTTTATGTACTTTTATTGATTTCCTAAGGATGCTGAAAGCAAAATTGATACCATCACCAACATGATGGTGATGATGATGATGGTTATGATGATGATGATGATGATGATTCCAGTCCTAATAATGGTTGTGTTGCATTGTTCATTTGTGTGGAGTTTGTGGCATTGACTGAAAATCCTCATGGAAGGAAGGAGTGCTGTGGCTCGGTCTTGCCTGACCGAGTTCATTCAAGTGTCCTTGACACAAGAGAAGAAGGTTGATAGGAATCCAGAGTTATCTTTAGGGTATGGTCAAAAAAAGACAAGATGGAAGTGGCTATGGTGTTCCCCATGAGACGCACCTAAGAATGGGTAGAGCTTCAGTCTCACTGTTGGAGACATCATCTTGACTTTTCTGTCTGCATCCTATGGTCCCCTCTGGAGCTCATCTGTTGACAACTGATGATGATGGAAGTGTTGGTGTTAAGCTCAGCTGCCTTCTCCCTTGTTGCACTTGGGAACAAGGACATGGACATCCCAAAGGTGCTTTTTGAAGAGGCAACTGGACTTTCTGGTTTTTCTTTGAAGATGTTTCGCTTCTCATCCAAGAAGCTTCTTCAGCTGAACTGAACTGAAGAAGCTTCTTGGATGAGAAGGGAAACGTCTTCAAAGAAAAACCAGAAAGTCCAGTTGCCTCTTCAAAAAGCACCTTTGAGACAACCATGATCTGGATGACAGAGAATCTCCATAGATATTTAAGGACATGGAGAGATTCTTCTTTTTCTGTATCTTTTTGCCCTTTGCTACTATTAGGCTGGATTCACACAACACGCTGCTTTCTAAACCCAGGTTAATAAAATGAACACCAGTCAGGTATTCGTACAACATATTCATTTGAGGGAATTGAACCATTCTTCAGTTACTGCAGTGCTTAAGCTCAAGGCTTGATTTGTTCAACGTGTTCAAGGAAACAGAAAAAAGGGAAATGCGAATCACCAAGCCATTCCCAAAAAAACTCTGTTTTTAATCTGACATCCAAATTCAGTTGTTCAGTTAAAGTTTGGGACGGGAGTCTCTCAATCTCAGCAACTTTAAGATGCATGGACTTCAACTCCAAGAATTCCCCAGGCCTAAAAATAACCACAGCAGCTGTGACAATAGCACAAAAATACAGCAGAATAAAAAGATAGCTAATGGTAAATAAGCAGCTTGCTCCAGACAAGTCTATGTTCTGGAATAGAATAGAATAGAATAGAATAGAATAGAATAGAATAGAATAGAATAGAATAGAATAGAATAGAATAGAATAGAATAGAATAGAATAGAATAGAATTCTTTATTGGCCAAGTGTGATTGGACACACAAGGAATTTGTCTTTGGTGCATACGCTCTCGGTGTACATAAAAGAAAAGAGACATTTGTCAAGAATCATAAGGTACAACACTTAATGATAGTCACAGAGTACAAATAAGCAATCAAATCATACTAGGAAACAGTCAATATAAATCGTAAGGATACCAGCAACAAGGTTACAGTCATACAGTCATAAGTGGGAGGAGATGGGTGATAGGAACGATGAGAAGATTAATAGTAGTGCAGACTTAGTGAATAGTTTGACAGTGTTGAGGGAATTATTTGTTTAGCAGAGTGATGACGTTCGGGGAAAAACTGTTCTTGTGTCTTGTTGTTCTGGTGTGCAGTGCTTTATAGCGTTGTTTGGAGAGTAGGAGTTGAGACAGTTGATGTCCAGGATGTGAGGGGTCTGGAGATATTTTCAAAGCCCTCTTTTTGACTCGTGCAGTATAGAGGTCCTCAATGAAAGGCAGGTTGGTAGCCATGGTTTTTTCTGCAGTTCTAATGATCCTCTGAAGTCCATGTCTGTCTTGTGGGGTTGCAGAACCAAACCAGACAGTTATGGAGGTGCAGATGACAGACTGAATAATTCCTCTGTAGAACTGGATCAGTAGCTCCTGGGGCACTTTGAGCTTTCTGAGTTGGCGCAGAAAAGAACATTCTTTGTTGTGCTTTTTTGATGATGTTTTTGATGTTAGGTGTCCATCTTAGATCTTGAGATATGGTAGAACCTAGAAATTTGAAGGTCTCTACTGTTGATACTGTGTTGCCTAGTAACCCACCCATCTTACCAGAAGAGATGGCAAAAAGCACACTAGAGAGTTGTGAATTCACAGCCGTTTCAGGACCATCGCTCCCTGGCTTCTGAAATGTTTTTAAACCATTCACAGCAGTTCCCTGAGAATACAGCTGTGGCACTTATAGCAAGTGTACCATAACCTTATTACATAAGTACGTCACTTGACTATGTGGGCAATGAAGTCATGTCTCACCACTCACCATTTTATTTCCTTACACATTGGGCAAAATAGCCAACTCTCGATGGGATTTTGATGGAATCAAAAAGTTTCAACTTGCTTTCAAAATACAAGAAGAGTTAGAGTTGCGTGAATCTCCATGGGAGAAAGAATTCACACCGTGGAGGCCATCCCAAAGAAGGGAGAGGTTCTCAGATGTCCTTTCTGAAGGCCTGTATGGTCTGGCCCATCCCCATGTTGTGTACATAACACTTAAAGATAAGAACCACCCTTTGGATTGGACACGAGAGCCAACTACTCTCAATTAGGTGTTATTTTATGCTGGTGGGATTGGCCTAGTCATGGGGAAGCTTCCTGCAGCTGGCAAGACCAAGAACTACACCCATTTCAGGGAGGTGTCTTTAATGCTTGTCTTGATACATACCAGAATCTTGGAAGCCACTCAAGGAGTGTCCGTCCCTCATTTATACTGAGATCATGAAGGTGGAGACCTTTGAATGGCTTGAAATGCTTCTTCGTGGATTTTTCTCCATATGAGCTGAGTTGCAATTTATAAGATCAGGCAGCCTGCAGAATCTCCTTCCATCCTTCGTCTCTTGAAGGCTTAGATCATCTCTCCTTCCCATTCTTTTCCCAGTCCCTCCATGGTTACCACCATGTTTTACAGCTTCCAGCATGCTCCAAAGATAACACCTCGTGGAGGGCATTGCAGGAATCCAGCAACGAGGACATCATCCTGCTTGCAAACAATGCCTATGAGAGGAAGCTGAGCATCAATTGGTACTGCATCTAGTTTTGGTCACCACACTATAAAAAAGATGTTGAGACTCTAGAAAGAGTGCAGCAAAGAGCAACCAAGATGATGAAGGGACTGGAGGCTAAAACATACGATGAATGGTTTCAGGAACTGGGCATGGCTAGTGAAGAGAAGGACCAGGGGAGACAGGATAGCAGTCTTCCAATATTTGAGGGGCTTCCACAGAGAGGAGGGGTTCAAGCTATTTTCCAAAGCACCTGAAGGCCAGAGAAGGAACAATGGATGGAAACTGAGCAAGGAGAGATTCAACCTGGAAATAAGGAGGAATTTCCAGAGAGCAATCAACCAGTGGAACAGAAGTTGCCTTCAGAGGTTGTGGGAGCTTCATCACTGGAGGCTTTCAAGAAGAGACTGGACTGCCATCTGTCAGAAATGGTGTAGGGTCTCCTGCTTGGGTGGGGGGTCGGACTAGATGACCTACAAGGTCCCTTCCAACTCTGTTAATCTGTTAACCCATAATTTTCTGTTGCTGTTCTCTGTCGGTGCTCATATTCTGTCTGGTTCCAGATCTGGATGGGACAAAAGAATGCAAAGAACTCAGCGGTTCTCCTGCGGGGAGACCGAGCATTAAAAGTGAGTGATGGGAAGGCATGTAGGGGTACAGACCGCCATGTGGCTCAGCACCTGACTCCATTTTACAGTCGTAGCTCATATAACAGGCAAGAACTATAGTAGCTAATGTAAAGAAGTTTCACATGCTACTTGGAAATCGATGAATCAAAAACGGCCACTGGAATGCCCATGAAACCCCTGGGGATCAGCTCCGATCTCAGAGGAGCACTGAAACAAGCCAAATTTGAACCTTGAGTAACACTCAGGGAAAACCAGATCCCAAAGGAAGTTTTTCCGGTGGTGACATTTACCCATGAAAACTGCCATCCTTGTGGGAAAAAAGGAGCGATTTTGCTGAAGTGTGGAAATGGATAGAGAAGCCACAAAAAGGCCACAACGAAGAAGAAGGGGGGGGAAAAAAACACAAGGCAAAAACAGCAACTCTAGGTAGATCAAAGAGGCCAAGAGGCCAACATGAATAGTTTTGAATTAAAAATAAAAGGGAAACATTAAGAGAGGAAACTCTTGTTTTAGAAGAGATTCTTCCAAATGTAAGAACTTTTTCCCAGCCCTGTTGTGCTAAATCTCGCATTGCTCTCACACAACTTTACTCAAATGATAACTAGCCCAACAGTTTTGTGCTACAATTCTGCTTTATGCTTTATCTCAGAAAATATCGCCTCTTCTTCCTCCTCCTCCTCGATCTTCTTCCTCCTTCTCCTGAAACCTACTCCATTCCCACAACCATTCCAACATCAGGACGTTGCACAACATTTTTCTTCCTTCATTTTTATTTTTTTTGTCTAGAGAACAAAATTCTCACCAACTCATTTCTGAGTTTATGTGAGACTCTTTCTACCTGGCTTCCAAAGAGTTTGTGTGGTACTTGAGGGCTGTCACAGAAAAGAGGGGGTAAATCTACTCTCCGGAGCACCTGAGGGCAGGGCAAGAAGTAACAGGTGGAAGATCATTCAAGAGAGAAGCAACCTAGAACTAAGGAGAAATTTCCTGGCCGTGAGAACAATGAATCAGTGGAACAACTTGCCTGCAGAAGTTGTGACTGCTCCAACACTGGAAGTTTTTAAGAAGATGTTGGATAACCATTTGTCTGAAGTGGTGTAGGGTTTCCTGCCTGGGCAGGGGGTTGGACTAGAAGACCTCTGAGGTTCCTTCCAGCCCTAGGATTCTGTGGTGCCTTTCTGTGAGGCAGGCAGTAGGGACAATGGATGCCAAGGAGAACAGCTTCCAGAGGTTTGCCTCCTGTAAATCTAACTTTCAAAGGAAGACAGTTGTTTGGAACAGTGTCAGGATCCCTGCGTAGCCACCGAAAAGAGCCATCTTGGAGGACAAACAGGGATTGGTGCAATCAGCAAAGTTCCTAGCTTTCCCATGGATGGGATGTAGTGCTAGAGTTGACAGTAGACAATGCAAAAACGTAGAGACCCCCAAACCACTTGAATTCTTTTAAGCCTCCATTCTCCCCAGTTGTTGGTAGTGGGGGAGTTCCTGGTGTGGAGAAACCTTGTGTCAGGCTTGGAAGCCATCTTTTCTGATGGATCTTTAGGCCTGCCACATTTACTACTACTGTGGGAAACTGGGAGGGGGGATTGTATGGAGCACGGGTGATATTTAGTCAAAATAACATTCCTTTCTCAGAGAGTCAAGGACATCTTGCCCTGCACCTGGAAGGCTGGAACTGGGAGGCATCTCCAGTTGGGACCGTGCTTTGATTGGACCATGTGATGGATTTGTGGGTGTTGGGCAGGGACTTGGTCTTTCCTTTGGGTGGGGAAAACCTGGAAGCTTTCAGATTAGGATTTTCCCAGATGTACCAATAGGACATCTCTAATAAAATGGAACTTTGAGGAAACTCAAGCCTCGGAGTTTTCTTTAGTTGGGGGTGTTCCTTGGAACCCTGACACCTTGAGTATAAAGCCATTTATTGAGGCAGGAGCAAATGTCTCTATTTTAGAAGTTCCATCTGCCATATTGGAGAGCAGAGAATCCAAAAGGCAGATTTACGCACAGTACGGTTTCAAAAGACGGATGGGAAGTCAAAGAAAGTTCAAAAGCCCCTTTGTATCTGGAGATCAAAAGGTGCTGTTCACGATGAAGAAAGATGCTGCTCAGTCAGCAATCAAAAAGTATTTTTCAATTTTATGGATCTTTCTATCAAGACTTCACATGCTGAATGTTATTGATCAGAGCTCCCCTTAATCGGAAGCAGGTTTCCCCGAGTTAGTTTTATTTTCTGGCAAAGGATGATGGGAAATGAAGGTCCTACACATCTGGAGAACGCCAAGAGGGCTAACATTGAGGATAGCTAAAACCAGCCTCCCAGAACTCGTGCTAAATATTTTCCCGTTTGGAACCTCGGAAGATTTTGAAACCGATAGTAGTCCACCTTTTGAAGGATTCTTCCAATTCTGCAAAGTTTCCTCTCGGGAAAATAACACCCCCTTTGCCCCAAACAGCTGGAGAAATAGAAAGATTTGTGGGAACCCAGCAGAAACCTCAACTGTTGAAAAGAAACAAAAAGGAAATAAGAAAATGTAGTTGCTTCTATATAACTACGCAACCACACTGCCCAAAACACCTGGCTGGGTTCCAGGAGGTATAACTTCCAAGAGAAACATTGGCATCCAATTTCTGAAGTACGCTCATCCTGACTTCCAACCAAACGCCAATAAGATGAAGCGAACGGTGGCCTTTTTCCTACTTGCGCCTAACTCTGGCCCAAACATGTCCTGGCAAACCCCTTTTTTCTGCCACGTTCCCATGAGGTTGCTTCCATCAGGGCGTTGTGGCAGTTTGAGCAGAAGACTGAAGTAGCGTGATGGGTGAGTGCTGGCACTTGGGACAGCTGGAGTGTGTAGTCCAGTGGTGAGTTGCTCCCGGTTCGCACCGGTTCTATAGAACCGGTAGTAAAACTGGCGGGAGGCTCCACCCACCAACCCCGACGTCATCAAAACGCTTCTGTGCTTGCGCAGAAGAGCGCGTGTGACCCCGCTGTGAACCGGTAGTAAAGTAGAACCCACCCGTGGTGTAACCCACCTAGGAAAGGAAAGATGGGGGAGAGAAATTGCTACTTGAGACACAGTTCCTTGGAAGCACCAGGCTTTATTTCACTTGGGTTACAGCAGAAATTTCGAAGATGAGAAACAGAACAGCAAAGACGTTTAGGTTACTTGTCTGTTCTAGTTAATCAATGATTCATACAAGTTCCAGCGTGAAGAAACCATCCTGAAAAATAAAAGCCTGCCACAATCTAAGAGAGAGGAAATGTCAAAGGACATGAAAGAAGTAAAAATTAGACTGTTTATCCAACTGAAGGCCTGAGAAAGGTTGAGAACATCCATCAGAAATGGTCTCCAGGAATTGGTTTCCCACAATCATAGGAGCTATGGTCGGCCATTTTATTTATTTATTTATTTATTTATTGAATTTCTATACCGCCCTACTCCCGAAGGACTCAGGGCGGTGAACAGCCATGGAATAAAACACATACATATACAAAATTTAAAATCGAATAAAATGAATTAAATAAATTTGGCTGAATTTTGGTCATCAGATCCAGTCTCTCCAGAATAATTGGCTCCACTTTAGTGCCTCTCGATGAGGAGTTCTTGAGAAGGTCTCCAGAAGCAGCCATGCCTGAGCTAGAAGCCTCAACTTACTCTTCTTGGGGGTAGTGAACAACTCCCATCATCCCCAGCCAGTGTGGTGGTGCTCAGGAGGGTATGTTGAACACCGAGTCCAGCAAGCCTACTTCTATGGTTTTCAAACTTGGCAAATTTAAGATGCGTGGACTTCAACTCCCAGAATTCCCCAGCCGTCCTGGTGCATCTGGAATGGCCTGGCTTGATGTGAATCTCTTTTTGTATTCCATTTTCAGCCAGGAAAATGTCTCATTTCTTCATGGACTTTATTTGCAATCATACTTTGGCTGGAGGCAGAGCCGAAGCGAGGCCGTCCATGTAAACCAGGCGTGGGGAACGATAGCCCATATACCACTCCCAGAATTCTGGCCGGCTCAGGAATTCTGGGAGTCGAAGTCCACAGGCTGTAAAAGGGCCAACGTTCCCCACCTCTGGTTCAAACACTCGGTCAAGGCAAAAGGGTCCAGAAACGTCGTTCTTCTCCCAACAACCTTTGCCGTCCACAGAAGAAGCAAACTCCATAAGGCAGCCCTCTCTCTTTTTCTGCTTCTCCGTCTCCTCCTTCCCCGCCTACCCAGCAAGCAGCTTCGTCAGTAACTTTGGCATCCGGAGGCCATTCGGTGCTGCTGCTACGCAAACTGGGCTGCTTCAGCATGATTTGGGACATGGTTTTCATTAGAGCATTAGCCAAACACTCATTCTTCATTTGATGCCCTTTCCAGCAGGCGATTTGGTCTGGCGTGGGGCGGAGGGAAGGCACCAGTC